TCTGAAAACACAAATACTATATTTAATATGTTGCATGTTTTCATAGTATTTTTTTAATACCTGCAGAATTAAGTTCTAGTGCACAAGAAACAGTAGTTCAAGATTAAAAATAGGGGCTGGGGATTTAGCTCAGCGGCAAAAGTGCCTGCATGGCAAGCGCAAGGTTGTGAGTTCGATTCCCGGTACTGGAAAAAAACAAAAATAAATAAAAAAATAAAAATTAAAAATAAAAATAAAAAAAAAGAGGTGACAAGAATGGCCTGCCACACAGGAAAGAAAGCTAAGCACATGTGCTCTTAGTATAAGTGAGACTTGCATATGGAACATGCAGTTGTCATGTGTGAAGACTTCCTTGGGTATGACAACTGAAGCAAAGATTACTTTTATTGTAAAGTTTTATTGGTATTTTCATTGTAGTTCATATAGGAATTTATTTTTGTTGTTATTTTTTAAAACTTTAAACTTTTAATAAAGGATATTTACTTTGAGGTGGAGCCCTAGGCTGAAGTTTAAGGAGCAGTAGTTGATGCTTCCATTAGTTTGGCCAAACCCCAGGAACATGAAGGAGCTTAATCTAACATGCTTCAAGTTTCTAAAAATGTTCCCCTGGTACAATTTGCTTTAAATATGGAATATTGTCAATTATCTATAAGGAAACAACTGTCCTTTTAAAAAACCCATTTTTTTTTTTTATTGACAGAATCTTGCTATGTTGCACAGGCTAATCTTGAATTAGTGTTAGCCAAGTATATACCAACAGTTTTACACTTTGGGAGTAAATCTTCTTTAATTCTAAGGTGATGTCATTCTAAATTTGCAAGGAGAATCTCAAGAAAATATAGGTAGTATATGTATATTTGGCCTCAGCATCAAAATTTTATTGGACAGGTTATTTGTTAGGCACTGAAATCAGACAAATATGTATGGTAAACTTTTGTAAGGAGAACTTTGCCTTTAATTTTTATTTTCTAAACTCCTGGTGTTTGCTTTGATGTCAGATTTGTGGAGCAGATTTATTTTTGGACATCTATTTTGAATTTTCCTTGCTACAAACAATTCTTGGCCTCAGACAATAGAAATGAACTTAATGTTTTGTTTTCAATCAGTTTTGTCACAATGTGTTTTGTCATATTGAAATACTGAATAGTTTTTAAATTACAAGAACAGTTTATAGCTGAATAGAACTCTGCTTTTAATCTTTTTATAACAAAATCTGATCGAGATCTCAGTTTGTGAACTCAAAGTTTTATATATTTTCCTTTAAAATAAACTTTATTCAGTAATAAAGTATTAGTAATTAGTAATAAAATATTTTAGCAGTTGTTTTCAGTTCTTTTTCTGTCTTAATTTTTAAAGTCATGACTGGCCACAGGCAAAATTAATAAATTTTCCCCATTTCTCATCGCTTTTCTTTCCCTCTCAGTGGCATTATTTTTATTACATACTCACTACGTGTTCTCTTTGGTTGCAGTCTCCTTAGAAAAACTCCGAAATGCATTGGTAACAACTTATTAGTGATTTACTTATAATAGCTTTAAATATTAATCTTGTTGGGGTGATTTTATTTTGAAAGAGCTCTATGAGCCTCAAGCTTTTATGACATTCTAAGTGTGAAGTTTTACCTCACAGGAAGGTTTGAGATGGGTGATTGTTTATAGGGATTGTTTTTGAACCTTTATGCTCTGAAAATCATAGCCATCCCTTATCTTCATGTAAAACTGATTAAATATATGGTAATAATATTCTCTCATAAAAAAGATGTCAAACTTGATCAGCAGGAAGATATTAACAAAGGAGCCTTAAGAATTAATAAAGGTAAACTTTATTTTAGAAGAATAGCTGATTTGCTTTTATGATTTCCAGGTGGTTACACAGTTCACGATAAGCCAAACCCCAGAGGTGAAATTGTAATTGGCGGGCAGAATATCTCCATGGGATATTTTAAAAATGAAGAGAAAACGGCAGAGGATTATTCTGTGGATGAAAATGGACAAAGGTGGTTTTGTACTGGTGATATTGGAGAATTCCACCCTGATGGATGTTTACAGATTATAGGTCAGTGTCTCCTCTTTTACGTGGTTTTCTTTACTTTATATAATTTCAACCTATGTGAAAGATAATATTGGTCAGAACAACAATAGGGTTAATGATTCATTGGTTCAAATTTTAAGCAAATTATTTAACTTGTGTCTGAACTTCTCCATCTGTAAAATAGGGACAAGAATACCAACCTCATATGGTAGCTATTAGCATTATATTAATTGACATGTGTAAATTATCCGTAGAAGTACCTGAACTTTAGTAAGTAATAGCAGTAGTAGCAACAGTATTGAGAGGCAGGGAAAAGGGTTGTGGAAGCAGGTTGGTTAATGAAAAAATAAAAAATTGTTTAGAAAAGATTTTTTTTGTCAACTGCATGTGTTTCTGTGTATTTACTGTAACATTCTCTATTCTAGCCCTTCCCTTCCCTTTACCTTATCACTCAAGGGATAGCATGAGTTCATTTTCTTCCCTGTTGGCCATTTAAACTAGCCCTGAACCTTGGAAAATATTGCTGTCAGTCCTTAGCATCAGTCTGTTCTAAGAATATCAGGTGCTTTGACATTCCCCTACCTTATTGACATTACCTTATTTACATTCAAGCATCAACTCGAAAGGTGACTCCAAGTGAAATATTCTGTTTACTTTAATCAGGGAAAACTTAAAAATTGACTAACTGATAAAGACCACTCTGCAGAGTCCTAGTCAGGTCCTTTTTAAGCCATAGAGTTCTTTAAATAGTAGCTCTATTGACCCATTTTCATGTATTGCCAACCTTTACAAATCCTGACCTGAATAAAATTAGAGGTTTCCAGAGAAAATTGATTATCTAGAACTTTCATCTGCTGTGGGAATTCTCAGGAAACATGATACAATTGAGAACCAATAACTGTTTTTTCTCCTTGATTCTTAATTGCATTTAATTCAATGATTATTTCTTTTTTTGTTTTGTTTTGTTTTGTTTTGTTTTGTTTTGTTTTTGGTTTTTCTCTGGTACCGGGAACCGAACTCACGACCTTGCGCTTGCCAGGCAGGCGCTTTGCCGCTGAGCTAAATCCCCAGCCCCCTCAATGATTATTTCTTATAAATGGGCTCCCAGGCTATGAGTAGGTAAGTCATGATCCATATGAAGAGATCGTTAGTCAAGCTGATGATTATTCAAGAAGGACCATTCTGTGCCATCATACTCTTACTTACATTCTTTCCTTTTTTTCCCATGGTCCTGATGATTGATTCCAGGACCTTTGCACTTTTTATTTTTTTATTTTGAGACAGGATCTCATTAAATGGCGCAACCTTGAAATTTTGTCTCAGCCTTCCAAAATGCTGGGATTATAAGTGTGTACCATGCCCAGCTTTTGTTCCACCATTTTCTTAAAGCACTGTCATTTTTAGAGATAATATCATGTTCATAGCAGCGCAATTTGTAATTGCTAAATTTTGGAAGCAACCCAAATGTCCATCCACTGAGGAATGGATAAAAAAATCGTGGTACTTTCATATAATGGAATATTACTCAGCTATAAACAAAGATAAACTCGAGGCTTTTACAGGTAAATGGTCACAACTAGAGTCCATACTCATAAGTGAAATAAACCAGACCTCCATGTGTAAGCACTGGATTGTCTCACTAGTGTGAGAACCTGAAAGTGTGAATAAAAATTAGGAGGTATGATAGGCATTGTGAAATGAAAGGAAAATGCTTAAAAGTAAAGAGCAACTGGGATGAGGGAAAAGAGAAAAGAAAAAAGGGGAACTTATGTGTGTATGTGTATACATGATAGCTAACATAGTTGTACTACTGAATTCTATAGCTTTACTAAAAGGAACAGGTAATGATTAATTATTTGATCAGTCTTCCATGTCTCTATTTGTTTTCCTGAGAAACCACTTTGAAGATACTAATACGTAATACAACAATCATTGTTAATTTCCTACCATTTTGTCTGTAATTCAGTATTGATTGTATTGTTCTTATGCTATTTTGTAAATGCATGTCTGTTAATATGTTTTCCTTCTTTTATTTTTAAAATAAATTTAAAAAAGAGCCACACTTGCAATTCTGTTTAAAAAAATAAAGATAATATCAAATATGAAAAAATGAGAATTAACATTTGTTGATTACACTCTATGCAGCAGGTTGTATGATGGGCCTTCTGTGATAGGCATCATTTTCCCTAATAATAGTGCAGTGAGAGAGGTTAATTGACATGCCAAGGATCACATAGCTACTGTCAGGCAGAATTACCATTGAAATCCAATGCTGCAAAGTCTTATTTTTCCATTAATTTTGTTGTATTATCTAACATAATGATAAGATATTTAAGTTTTTGGTATAGGATATAACTTTCAGCTAGTACTAGTTTGCCTGGGCATTTTCTTTTTAACTGATATGTATAAACAAGCATTATACATAGCAATATTCTAGAAGTATCTTTGTAAATAAAGATTAAAACAATGAAGTGCAAAGAAAATCAGATTTCTGTATATATTAATGAAACACACTGTGGATAACCTAACATTCTTCCTAACTACAGATCGTAAGAAAGATCTGGTGAAGCTGCAAGCAGGAGAATATGTGTCTCTTGGGAAAGTAGAAGCAGCACTGAAGAACTGTCCTCTAATTGACAACATCTGTGCTTTTGCCAAAAGGTAACTTTCAATATACTTCAAAATTATTTCATATGCTTACAGTGAAAGGAAAATTAGAAACAAATTTGATTATATATAATCATAAGGGTACCATCAAATTTTTCTTAGAAATTTCATCAGAGTTGGGAAATCATATAGAACTAAAACTCAATACCTATTAAACTACTTTCCATTTGTTCCTTCCCTCAGCCTCTGACAATCAACATTATACCTTATTTTTCTATGAATTTAACTACTCTAGATATCTTGTAGAAGAAGAAAAATACAGTATTTGTCTTTTTGTGATTGGCCTATTTTACTTAGCATACATAATGTCCTTCAGGTTCATCCATGTTGTAGTATGCATCAGAATTTCTTTCAAGACTGAATAATATCACAGTACATACATATTTTTAATTTGTCAGGGAGCTCTCATACTGTTTTCCATAGTGGCAGCACCATTTTTTAATTTTTTTTTTTTCTGGTACCAGGAATCGAACTCACGACCTTGTGCTTGCCAGGCAGGAGCTGTGCCGCTAAATCCCCAGCCCTGGCAGCACCATTTTTGCATTTCCACAAACAGTGCTCAGGTGTTCTAATTTCTGTACCCCTCACCAACATTTGCTTACATATTTTGAAGGTATTAGTTATCCTAATGGGCGTGAGAGAGTCTCTCATCGTGGTTTTAATTTGTATTTCTCTAATGATTTAGGCTTTTGAGCATCTTTTCATATGATTGCTGGCGATTTGTATGTCATCCCTGGAGAGAATGTCTATTCAAATTTTCAAACATTATGGCTTTTTTTTTTTGACGGTATTGGGAATTGAACCTAGGGCCTTCACACTGAGCTATATCCTTAGCCTTCTTTTAATTTTAAGGCAGAGTTTCACTAAGTCACTAAGTTGCCAAGACTGAACTCGAACTTACACTTCTCTCTCAGCTTCCCAGAGTGCTGGTATTACAGGAGTGTGCCACCACACCTGGCTTCTTTGCCTGGTTTTTAAATTGAACTAGTTGGGATTTATGTTCTTGAGTTATGGTTATTTATCTATTCTATAACCTTTCCTCAGATAGATGACTGGCAAATTTTTTCTCCCATCACAGTACTTTGCAATTTTCACTCAGCTTTTTGTGTTTTTAATTTAAAAGTAGTCCCATTTATCAATATTTGCTTTTTCTACCTGTGCTTTTGGTGTCATATCTAAGACAAATCTCCAAATCCGTGAAACATTTTCCATATGTTTTCTTCTAGGAATTTTATAAATGTTCAGGTATTTGATTCTCTTTGAGTTTGTTTTTATACATGTAAAGGTCCACCTTCATGTTTGCGTGTGGATATCTAGTTTTTACAGCACCATGTGTTGAAGAAATTACCCTTTTATCACTGGACAGTCATTTGAGTTTATTTCTGGGCTGTCTCTTCTAGTCCGTTGGTGTATTTGTCTGTTTTTATGTCAGGACTGTGAATTTTCTTACTTCATATTGCAGTGTTAACAAATAAGAAAAATCTGTATTTGGAATTATCTGTAATGTACTGTTTAATTGAAAAATTTGGCTCAGTATTAATGTCTATTTTATTTTCTAATACTTCAGTGACCAGTCTTATGTGATCAGTTTTGTGGTTCCCAATCAGAAAAGGTTGACACTTTTGGCACAACAGAAAGGGGTGGAAGGAACTTGGGTTGATATCTGCAATAACCCTGCCATGGAGGCTGAAATACTAAGGGAAATTCAAGAAGCTGCAAATGCTAGTAAGTAAGAAATTGTTAGTTTGTTGAAAGCCCATAAAACTAATTCAATAATATCTTGTGCATTACACTCTTCAAGGCATTTGTTTTAATAAGAAACTATAGAATTAGAAAACCAAAAATGTTATATAGTAGAACAATCTATTGCATGTTACAGCATCCCTGCCAAGTATTTTATCTAGCCCGTGTCTGGAACTGTTCAAATTTAAAGATATGTGTTATGCAGGTCTACTTTATGTGTACAAAACAGAAACTGACAACACTTCAGTAAATGTTGTCCCTGTGACTGTGCTTTGTAGATATTCTTTGGCTCTGTAAATAGACTATCTCTGATGTTCATTAGTAACCAAATGGAGAACACCTGAGTATGTACTGTGTTTTAGGCATCAAGAATATAAAAGTTGATAAGACACATTTCTTGCTCTCATTATCCAGTGAGAGGGACATTTAAGAGTGACAGTACTTTTAATAGCAATAGAAATGTAGAGAATCACAGTACCACAGATGAGGATACCTAATCCTGCCTAGGAAGTACACTGTTATGGATTGTATGCCAAATAACAGCATGAATAAAGGCACAGAGGTGCAGAAAAGGAAGTACATATATCCAAGAAACAAGAAGTTTATTGTTAACTGGTGCAGTAAAGATGACGCTGTAGAGATGAACAGAGGCCAAGCATGTTGTGCTCTATATGCCATTTTATGAAAGTTAGACTTAATCCTTAGGCGGTAAGGAGCCATTGTGAGGTTTTCTCAAGTTAGTTATATGGTCAGATTTGCATTTCTGGTAGATCTGTTTGAGAGGGGCATTGCAGTGAGGCAGGCAGCCAGTTTAAGAGAGCTATACTATATAGTTAGATGAGGGCCTACACCAGGGACTCAGGAAACACTTATGAATCAAAATTGGGAAGCTTTCATGATTACTTGTATAATATAGGTAAGGGAGAAAGAGTCTTAAGTTGGCCCCTAGGTTTGTGGCTTAAGCAAGGTAACTGTTACTACTGATTGAGCTCAAAGATACAGGAAGAAAAGACAGTTTATATGAGAAGATGATAAGGTCAGTTTGGTGTGTATGTAGTTTGTAATGCCTGTTGGATAATCACAGTTAAAATATCCAGTAGGTAGTTGTGTATATTAGTCCATACCTCATGAGACAGATCTATATTTTACAGTAGACTCGAAAGTAGATGGGCAAACCTTGAGGGAGAATGTAACAAGCGAAGAAGAGGCTGAAGATGGGTCCCTGGGCAACACCAGCATTTATGGAATGGATGGGCGAAGTGTGTGTTGAAGGTGCGCTGGGAAAGGTGGCCAAAGCAGATAGTGCAAAGCCCTGCTGAGACAGCTTCAGAAAGGGAATGATCACACAGTTTCAGAGTAGCAGGTGGGTTGGGCAGAAGTTACCAGAGCATTGATTGATAAATTGAATAGATTAAAAAGTAACTCTGAAGCCAAACAGTAGGCCACTTTTATAATGTTTTTAAGTCTCAATTTTTATTACCAGTGCAGTAATAAGTATGCATAGTTTTTATAATAGCAAATAATATTACAGGACTTGCATGGAATAGCAGCCCTCAATATTATATCCCTCTTCATCCTCAAGTCCTATCCCCCTTCAACCTTGGCTGTTTTTTTGATCTATGGCATTTGTCTCTTTTTCTAAAGAAAAATTTTTCATTGGTTTTTTTTTTTAAACTCTTCACTTCAGATGTTATCTATGGACTTCCTACCACTGATGATACTGTAGCTTTCTTATATCCATTCCCCATATACATACTTCCATTTATAATGTATAGTACAGTTTCATGTTTTACATATGTTTCTATTGTTAGGAATATGAAAATATTCACAATTGACCTATATGTTATTTTAGTATTAAACTTCCATTATTGCCCAGCATTCGCTTTTTCCTTCTCAGTTTTTGTGTACCTATTAAAAACTCTTACCCTAAATTCAGATAAAGTTATAAAAGTATTCTGAACTACAGGAAAGTATAGCATGTATGTATATTTCTTTTGTTCACAACATCCTTCTTAGAGCCCGTCATCTTCCTGCTGAAATGTAGGTTTTTTTGTACCCCAAGGATTTCCTGTACCTTCATCATGGGGATTTCCTTTGCCTTTCTCCTGTTGGGGATCTGGTTTTCTGGATCTCATGTCTGTCATTTTCCTGGTTTACTCACTCATTTGGTAGAGGACATCCTCGAGCACTTTCCAAAAGAGGTACATAGATAGTAAATTTTTGACATGTACTTACACAGTATAGTTGAATGCATCTTTATTATATATTTGCCGTTGAGGCACAGTTCATTATGTAAATCATTTCTCCTTAACATTTTGCAGTTTTGGCTCCATTACCTATCTTTTAAGTTCAGTATTGCAGGCTGGAAAGTCCAGTTCTCTCCGTATTCTCTTTGGTTTGTGTATGAACTCTTTTTACTCATATCTCTTTAAGCTGTCAGAGTTGTTTTCTTAATTTATGGTATTATAGGAACGCAATGATGTGCCTTACTGTAGGTTTTTTTATCATTTATAATTATGTAGACTTTGTATGGGTTCTTTCATTCTGGAGATCTCTGTCTGCCCTTTAGTTCTGGGAGATTTTTAACGTTGTTGATTTGCTCTTTTTTCCCCATGGTCCTCCTCCACCTCAGATTCTCATTCTTGTTCTCATTCTCACTCTCACTCTCATTCATTCTCTCTGTCGCTCCCTCTCCCTTTCCCTCTGTGTGCTTATATAACTACTTTTGGGGGGTTGGTACTTGATTGAACCCAGGTACACCCTGAGCCTATGTATGTATGCATATATGTATGTATGTATGTATGTATGTATTAAAACAGGGTCTCACTAAGTCCTGCAGCTGGGCTTGAATTTATAATCCTTTTGCCTCAGCCTCACATAGTGTTGGGATTACAGGCCTGGGCCACTATACCTGATCAGAAATACTTTCATATTAACTTTCTGATTACCTATTCTCATCCTCTAATTTTATTGCCCTTTTTCTTTCGTTTTCTGTATCCCTCGTCTTTGGTTTCATATTCTGAGAGTCCCTTAACATTATCATCTCATCTGTGAAATGCCCAATTTATACTCTTAGAACATCAATTTTGAAGAACTCATTTTATTTATTTACTTTTTTATTTTATGGAAAACAAGTAAAAATTTCATAACAAAAATAATCGGAGAATAACAATAGTTAATATCTTGCATATTGTTATCTTTAAAGTAGTTACTCAGAGTACAAGATATGGGCTTAAAAATTCTCTAATTAATATTAGCACAAATCTTCCTTTTTAATGAACTAAGAGACACTAGTAGTATAACTAACTTGCAGTTTTTCTTTTTCCCTTCCTCCCTTTCCCCTTTCCCCCATCCGAGTTCCTTTTTTTTTTTGAAAAATTTCTTCCTATTTCACACTACCTATTGTACATTTTAGACCTTATTTACTCTTAGAATTTCTCCCACCAGGGAGACAATATGATGTTTACACATGTGAGTCTGATTTATAAGAACTCATTTTTGTCTTCCTAGTTTTTCTTCCAATAATGTTCTTTTGCTCTTTTATGGTTGCAGCTAACCTGCTATTTATTATTCCTCTGAGGACGTTGGAAGAACTCTTTCTCTGTAGTTTCCTTCTATTAGTATCTCCTTTTCCTCCACCTTCTATTTCATGTTTTCATTGGTATAGCCTGTCAAGTATCTGCTCATCTTTCTCTATTCATATTTCAGAACAATTACAGAAACAACTTGGAAAGCTTCCTGGTGCTCACTGAAACATTAATCAGGCATTAGCAACTTTTACTTGTATATCACCCTGTTTTTCTGAAGAAGACTTCTCTGATCTCTTGCTTGGGCAACATTTGTCTGACTGCCAGCATTCTGATAGCCAAAGGGAGGAAGGGGTGGGGCACAACAGATCTTATTCTCCCTGGGTCCTTCTGGTTTCTGCCTCACTCTTTCCTTATGTGTGCAGTATCATTTTCAGTTGCCAAATATTATTCCAGTTCTTGAGAATCCTTTTAAGTCCCTTTTGGACTTTTTAGGTGAGTTCCACGTTTTTCCCACATTTTAATAAAATGTAATGCATATCTTTTACACTCAGTTATTTTTGTTTGTGATTATTTTCTTATTGTGGATTTCTGTGAATAGGATTCCTGTGTCAAAGAGAATGTATACAGCGGCTTTTTCCTCATTGCTAAACTGTTCCCTCTTCTAGAAAAACTGTACTGATTTATCTACCTCTCAGAGATACATGAGTATATTTGTTTCCTTAACTTTGCGATTATTTATTTGTATTTATTTTTAAAATGAATTTGAATTTTTAAATTAATGACTTAGGATCCATTGATGACTAATTTTTTTCCCAAGACAAACTTTCTGAACTCTGACCTTTGTAAGATTGAAATAATGTTTTATTAACCTAAGCAGAACTAAAGTCATTTATTTTATAACTATAAAAATAGTGCGGCTTGATGTTCCTTTTTTCAAGATAATGTGGTTTTAGTATTCTTGATATACTTTTATATTAATGTAATCAGGCTCCCAGAACTTTCTTTGGTACAAATCCTGATTTTACAATAGACTACCCATTGGAAGGGTACTGCAGTTATTCTTGTCACGTTCTGAACATACTAGAGCAGTAGAATATTACTTAAATAATTGCCTTTGCATATTTAACTGGGTAAAGCCAATAATGGGGAAAGTTAAATCATATTACAATCAGTTGGAGAGCAGAATAAAAATCCTAGGACCCACTAAACCCCTATAACTTTCATGCTCTGGAAGTCAGGCCTATACTTGAACAATTTATGATAGGGGTATTGAATGATAATCATGAGCTATGTATGCAAATCATAAACATTTCCGTGCCACAAAAGATTTATCTTGCCAACCTTTTGCCTCAAATTGTAATTTCAGAAACTTATGCAAAACACTGTAATATAGTTGCATTGTCAGCAAATCTTTCTGAAATTATACATATTTCCTAGCAGGCCTGTTTGTTTTTAAATATAAGTGTGATATATAGGTCATATCCAAGACTATAAAGTAATTGTTTTGGGTAATTTGAGCAACTATCAGTGGCTATAAAATTGATCTTTACAACTACCTGCAGGTCTTACTTCATAATAAGTTAATTCAGATAAAAATGCCTTATGAAACAGTGTTTTGTTTTTCTTCTAACCTTTTATCTTTCTCTCTTGTTGGCAGTTACTTTATTCTGTTTACAGGAAACTGTGATTGTCCATTGCTCCTTGTAGTGTATGTCACTAAATAATTTAGGAATTCCCAGCATGAAACCCTTAAAGCAGCTATTTTCTCTCTCTGAACTGGAATTTAGCTAATAAAGATTAAATATAAGGACATCTATTAATGTGGTTTAATTAATTGTATGCAACTGAAATAATGTGCTTGCCTTGTCCAATTTTGTCAGTGATTCTTGAATAGGATATGTGTAATTAGGGTTAATGAAATGAAATATAAGACTTTGGAGCCAAAATATAGTTGAGAATTTAGCTGTTCTCTTGAGATTCAAATGTGACCTTGGAAACAGATATTTCAGGCACTATAGTATATGTGATCTGTAACATAGTAACAGAACAGACATGTTAATTAAAGCAAGTTTTATGTTCCTTTACTATCATTTCAGGCATTATTTTTAGGAAGTTGGTTTTAACAACATTTTAAAAATTATTTTTCAAACTCAGATTTATATTCCTATCTCACTGTAATGAGAAACTTACTAATTTAATTAGTCTTTCATAGAACCAACACTACTACAGAGCAAGAATCTCCCTGAATTTCTTTGTGCTTACCTTTGAAATCAAATTGCACCTAAAGTCATCTAGTCTGTTTTGCAGCAGGTTTTTAAAAACATGCGGATGTTTGGTTCTGCTCAATTCCTGTTTTAAATACTTGCACGTAAAGCCTATCCATCAGTTAACATTACTGTTGATGAATCTTCTGAATTTTAAGGATGAATCTGTATTAATAATAAATGACTTTGTGGAATATAATTTAAGAATTAAATTACAAGAACTAAGCTAACATAATTGAGTACTGCGTTGATTACTTCTAGGTCCTTACATTCCTTCTTCTAATATGTATTAAATTGTCTAACTCAAGTACAAATTATACTGTATCAGATCTTATACCACTTAAAGGGGATTGAAATCTACGATCCTCTTATAGTGTGTATTTGAGTTTATGATACAGTTTATGAAGAATGTATGTCTAGAGACTTAAGTTTCAGCAGAATGAATTAGTGAACTAATACTTGATGTATTTATTGAGGGCTCTCAATGTGGACCTATGAATGGCAGTGAAACAAGGCCTTCCTTGTTTTCATGAAGCTTGCATTCTAGTAGGTGAGACAAACATATACAGTACAGTAATATGTTGAATGGGAGATAAGTACTTGGAAAAAAGCATAGCATAAGAGGATGTAAAGAGACAAGACTTCTCTTTTGTTGCAAGTAGCCAGGAAAATCCTGTCTTAGGTGGAGGCCTTTGAGTAAACACCTGAATAAACTGAGGAAATTAACCGTGCAGCTCTATTGGAGAAGACAGACAGAGGAAACAAGAAATATAAAGCCTCTGAAGAGGAAGGTGGTGTGTATGTGTGTATATGTTCGTGTGTGATATAAATAAAAACCACATAGCCTAAAACTTGGCAACTAAAATAGCTTATGTATACTTTTAGAAATGCAAAATCAAATTATAAGACAGTGGTATTATTTATAATGATCATATTTTTAATTAAATAAGTTTGTCTCCTCACATGCGTGGACTAGGTAAATTCTGCAAAATTTATTAATTTTTTATCTCCCCTTTGTTTTCCTCATCTTTCTCCGTGTCTCCCTTTCTCTCTTTTCCGCTTCTCATTTCAGTGAACCTGGAGCGATTTGAAATTCCAATCAAAGTTCGTTTAAGCCCAGAGCCATGGACCCCCGAAACTGGTTTGGTAACTGATGCTTTCAAACTGAAAAGGAAGGAACTGAAGAATCATTACCTCAAAGACATTGAACGAATGTATGGGGGCAAATAAAATGTTGCTCCCTTACTAACAGTTGTGGGGGAGGTGCCCTGGTTGTTTTTCTGTTCTAGAGTTTAAGTTTTCGTTGAACTGTCTGTTAGAATGTAAAGTGTATCATTCTAAAGACATGGTAATTAAAACAAAAAACCAAAACTTATTAAAATAGTTGTTGAGTCTGCTTTAACTTAGGTTTGTTTAGTTCTAGTGAAGCTGAAATTGAAAAGTTATTTCCCTTTAGCTGTATTAATTTAGAGCAGAAATTGTTTTTAAAAATTAGCCTATGATACACATTTTCATAAAGAAAAAATTTAATGTTAAACAACATAAATTGGAGTTGGAGTAGAATGTAGTTTGAGGAAATTTGCAGCTTCCAATGTCTTCCTAGTTCATAAGTTTAAATATTAAGCATGACAAAATATATGTATTAACACTACTCAAAGCAGAATTGCTTCAGGGCTTTAAAATTCTCTTTTAACCAGTTATAGTGAAGGGAAAATTCAATCATAATATGATATACAGCATCAAATAATACCTTAGAAGGTGTTATTTTAAGATCATGCTGTTTGCATAGGTTAGACATAGAACCGTTAAAATGTTGTGAAGAATTACAGTGCCTAAAGTAAGAATAAAACAACATACACATACCAAAAATATTTTGTAATATATTTGAAGGAAATTTGAACTGGTCTTTGAAACACTGAGATATAAAATCAGTAACTGTAATTATTTGAATGACTTAAAAGGAAAGTACGTTTTAAAACATGCTGAAAATGGCCTGTGTTCAAAATGAAAGACTTCTATCGAGTAAAATGACAGAATAGTTAATCAAAATTTAACAGTAAACATTTTCTCTGTTAGAAAAGGTGATAAAATCGTAAGTATTTGGAGTTATGTCCCTTGCATAGCACTGAACCTGGGAAGGAGATTTGGATTCTGGATTTATCTTTGATAAGAGGGATTGATTTTAAAATGTACTTGTATCAAAATTACACCAGTAATTTATGATCTGATTATTGCTGATTTGACTCTTGATCAGTAGATTGCATTTTAGAGAACTTTTCATGTTGCTTTAATTTTAGCAAAGCGGGTTATGGTGAATAACTTCCCAATTTCTTGTTCAAACCTACGGGTGATTAATTCTTTTGGATGAGATTTGGGAAATCAAAGGGAAGAAAACACTGTTAGCACATTTTCCTGTTTGTGAAGAGTTTAGAAACTGGAAATGATAGGGTTGGGAGAAGGGCAGAATTACTTGATAAGGGATTTACGTTTATTCAGTAACTTGGAGTGTGGGTTTCTTTTTAAATCTTTAAAATCTGGAATTCACACTTGAACCATAGTTACTGTAAAAAACAAAACTTTTTAATACTGTTATTCTTTGCACTATATATATATGTGTGTGTATATCTTACATTGCTTTGTACAGATGTGGGCCACCACTGCAACAAAAGAAATTCCTTTGTTCTAAAATATTTATGAAGAAAATATTTAAATGTTATGTATATGGTGGTAATAAGGAAAAAATCATCTGGTGTTATAAGCAAGAAAGAAGGTTTTTGTAAAGGTTTTCATTCAGTGTTCTGCAAAGTAAAATTCTGGGCCAGTTTTCCCAGAAGTTATGTATGACTATTCTGAATCTTCCCAAATTGCCTTTCAAGAGTGAATAACCATTATTAGCAAGTAGACTACTGCTCACCTTCTGCTATCCTGGCCCACTGTTTGTCCAGTAAGGATTATTTTCTTAGACTCTTCCAATATGTGACCCCCCCATTTGAAATGGTGATTTTTAAATATATGAGTGCATGCATACTATCTTAGCTATTTGCACCCCACCCACACCTATCTCCTGAAAGCTGGAACACTGCCAATGAATCTACTGACCAGGTCCATTAAAAAATGTAATTAACAATTAAGGTTGGGTGCTGCTAATTCTTTGCAAAAATCCAAATATTGTTAAGGGACCAGGGAGATGCCACTACCCCCTGATTTTTCATCAAAAAATACATGTTTATGTAAATGGAAATCTTTCCATATTCATAGAGACTTTTTAAGTATTTAAACCTAAAGATTTTGACCTCACATTTTTATACCTGTTTAAATCATTCATAGTTATTATTACATGTCAGCCATCAAATAAAGTTGTACTTGATAAATTTACTGCTAGTATGTATATTTCTGAATCGAACACTTGTGGTCTTCGCTTTAATTACATGAACATATCTTGCCTCTTTGATATTTGTGTTCATTCTCTTTTTCATCAAGTGGAGGTATAACTGTATGGCTTTTCAGAACTGAAATACAGAAGGATAATTGAAAAAGTCAGAAATTAACCAGAGTAATGTTTCTTGGATCACAGGGAGTGATTAGTAATTCCTTGTCTATATTTTCCTGGTAGCATACTACAAATGTTTCTAAGTTAACAAAGTGAGAACAGGTTAAAGATTGTGTGGTGTTTCGAATCTGGAGGGAAACTTTTAAATTTTTGAATGTAGTTGCAAGTTATAATGTATTCATATGTGTACGTTCTGTTAAAATGCACGATTTCAAGGATTGTTATTTAGATTTTGTGTTTATTCTGGATGAAAAGCTTTGTTCTTGTTTTTAAGTTTGCACTTGAGTCTTATGAAATAAATTCACCCATGTTATCAAATCCAACTTGTACTTATTTATGCGAGATAAAATCTGTAACTTCGAAGATTAACCAAACTTTTAAGCACATAACTTCTAAAGTACCTATTTTTAGCTTTATGGAATTACAATGAAATAGCCCATCTTAACTCCCATTCATTAGTTTGGATTATTTGAATCTAAAGTGGTATTAATATAGTTAATAATGTTGAACCCCTTTGCAAAACTGACATTGTGGGACAAATCATAGTCACTTTATGTGGATTATTGGCAGGTGCTAATAAATTATAACTATTACTTTTAGGCTACTGAACAGGGAGAAATTAAGTTATGAATTACATGGAATATACATAAAACAGTGTTTAAGAGCTCAGAAACCAGATTATTTCAGTCTGTTCCTTCCTTTTGCCCTCACTAGTTTTATGACTTTGGGTAAGTTAACATCTGAAAGCTGCATTTCTCCTGTTGGGACAATCGAATTGATAATATATCTGCCTCATAGGGTTGCTATGACGGTTAAAATGAGGTCCCTCTAAAGTGTTTAGAACAATAGCTCTTGTTAGCTGTCATTATCATCGCTGTGTCCAGACAGTGGTTATGGATACACTCAGGGTTTTAAAGAGTCGCCGACCCTGAAGATGTTGTGGAAAGAATTCTGGATTTAGAGATCCAGGCACCTGGACTCATTCTGTCACAAACTTTATAACCATGGGCAATTCTCATAATCACCCCTTCGCCTTAATTTCATCTCCATTTAAAAAAATGGGGCTCTAAAAAAAGATGTACTTTGCATAAAGAGAAACAAATGAAAGGAGTAGAGAAGGTAATACTTTCTAAGATCCATCATGCCTACCTTTCAGATTCTGATACTGTTTTTTTAAATAATTAAGTTTATTGGTACATTTTAGATACACATAATGATCGCATTCATCATAGGGAATTTTTACCTCTACATGCTATAACTTGATTTTTTTTTTCCCATTCCCCTATCCCTTCAACCCTTCTTCCCCTCCTTATTTTTAAAGGCTTTGTTTCCATTTTTCCTTCTTTTCTCATCATTTTTTTCTTTTCCCTTCCTTTCTTTCCCCCTCCCCCCTCCCTAGTTCCCCTTCCCATTTGATAATTTTCTTTCCATTTTCAGATTTTGATATTTTTGTGCCAAGTTGACTTTTTAAATGATGTGCTACATCCCAAGTTTCCCATCAGAATGTGAGGCTATAGATGATGCCATCACAAGAAGCAAGGATTCTACTAGGTATAAGGAATCCATCACTTTTGTGTTTTATTTTTGAGACAGTATCTCGCCATGTAGTTCAGGCTGGACTTGAACTCATCGCAAACTTCCTGCCTCAGCCTCCTGACTGCTGGGATTACAGTCATGCGCTGCCATGCCCAGTTTAATTTTTAATGAGAGTAGTTTACACCTAATTTAAAGCAGTGCTTTTAAGCGTTTTGTATTCTGTGACCCACAGTCGTAGGCATACACACTTGTATGTAAAACTACTTTATGAATGCTTCTTGTGAAAACAAAAACAATCCCAGTAATGAGATACACACTGATTTTGCACATCGTTTATGTGGCTGTCACCTACTAAACTGATTTGTTTCTTTTTTTTTTTTTTTTTTTTTTTTGGTTTTTCTCTGGTACCGGGAACCGAACTCACGACCTTGCGCTTGCCAGGCAGGCGCTTTGCCGCTGAGCTAAGTCCCCAGCCCTAAACTGATTGATGATACTGTAAAATAGTGCTGATAGAACTTTCCATAAAGTTGAAAATGTTCAGTGTCTGTGCTATTACAGTGTCCACCAACGCATGTGGCTATTGAGCACATGAAATGTGGTTAGTATGACTAGATTTTTTAATCATACCAACCACATACTGAATTTTTAATTTTATTTCTATATTGAGTAACATAGCTATAGAAAAATGACGGGCCACAGAAGAACAAGGGCTTAAAGTCAGCTGCTCTCTAAAGGTTACGAAAGACGCCTATCCCCTCCTCGCTTTTTCTCATTTCCTGTTTCTGAGGCAACCACTTCTGACTTGCAGTCTACTGTTTTGGTATTTACTGTTGTATCTAAATAACATTTGTGTTATGCATCTTGATTTTGTCGTTGTTTATTGACATCTCCCTACATACAAGCACACCTCTCATACTCCCCATATAGATAGATGTGCAGATAGAGCAGTAAGTCCTTACACTATAACTGTATTGTTCAGACATTAAATATTCAGTAAGAAACCATATATAATTTTCCTTTTCTGTGCTTCTAACCCTCTGGAACTAATAATTGTCTTTCTTGCACTTGCTATGTTTTCAATGTATTTATCAAGAATTCATCCCCAGATTATCTACCAATCATGTATGTCTTTTCTCAGCACTCCCAGTGCTGGGATTTAGCACAGCTGTGGAGCAACAACTTACATGGGCTTCATCCCCAGAAGACCACACCCCTCAAAAAAAGATAAAGTTCTAACAATTTCATCTGGAATAAATTGCTTCTAGAACCTTCTGATCTACATTAGAATATTTGCCCTACTTTCTCTTGCAGAGCCATTTCCTTGGAGTCTACCTTCATCATCATCCTGAGATTTTCTTTTTCCTTTATCGTGTGTTTGTTACTTCTATCCCATGTATTTTTCTCACTTGGATGATTACATCTTTTTATTAAAACATCCTGCAGTAGAATTAATTTTGAGGCCTTAATTGATCATTTGGTTGGGTGTAGATTTTAAATTTCCTCTCCATGTTGAATGCAATATTTCATTGTCATTTAGCTTCCTATCTTCTCTCTCCAGCACGTTGGAATGGAATCTTCCATTCTCTTTTACGTCTATGCTCTCTAGGATCTCAAACGCATCCCTTTCAGAGGTTAGGTAACCATGCTGTACTTAGGAATCACATGGAAAAGTTAACAATGTGACACTTAAATGTTTCAGGGCTCTCTCTGGTTTAATTATGCCAGATGCCTCGAGGAGACAAAAGAAGGTCTAATCTATCACAGACCAAGAGACTACAGGGGAGAATCAAGAGAATGATCTTCGAGCTAAACGCTATGTATGTAGGAATTTGGAAAAAAGAGAAAGTCTTTCATGTTTCCATTGTCTGGGAAGGTTTACTCTAAGGTCTCTGAGCCTAAAGCTGAAGCTGCAAGAGTGACTCTCACAAAATTATAGCTGATAATAAAGAGTGTGCATTTGTCTGTAGCAGCATTACCTCTGTGCCCCTTCAGCCTTCAAGAACCGAGTGGGGTGACAAAACAAGAACTTCATGGGTCACAGTTTGAGGTCTAGACTAAGATCTTTAACAGATCCCACATTCGCCTGAGATACTTGATGTCTTCAGCCCTTGGGATGGCAAAGCTCCCTGGCAGGTTGCCTCCTTACCCATTTATCCCAGGGGATCCACCTACGTTACTGATGTCTGCTAAACTGTGAAAACTGTTGGAAAGCACTACTATAGATGTGCCTTTCTTCTTGGAGAGTATTGGCAAGACATGGTCTGCATGATTTGTTTTCCTCTCTGCAGGGCCAGGCAGATTGTTGTCAACTCTGAGAAGTTAGCCACTTTGTGAATTTTATTCATTGTTCTTTCTCCAGTGCCTGCCATTGTGCTTGACATATAATGAAGGAAGGGAGGAAGAAAGGGAGGGTGGGAGGAAGGAAGGAAGGAAGGAAGGAAGGAAGGAAGGAAGGAAGGAAGGAAGGAAAGAAGGAAGGAAGGAAGAAAGGAAGGAAGGAAGGAAAGAAGGAAGGAAGGAAGGAAGGAAGGAAGGAAGGAAGGAAGGAAGGAAGGAAGGAAGTCTAAGTCTTAAAGGATGAGTAAAATTTGAGTAACCTGGAAGGATTAAGGACTTGCAGGGGAAATTAACAATATGAATAGACTCAGACATAGTCATGGTGTGTGCCAAACACAGTTTGCAGAACAGCTGAGGGGCCCAGAATGGTGCATGTTTTGAGGCAGTAGGAAATTATCAGACCATATCGTATCTATTTGACATAATGCTGACTGAATAATGAGCCACTGAAGCACTAGTGCCTAAGAACAAAGTTGAAGTTAAAACAAACAGTGGTTGACACAACTGGTCTTGATTTTTCTCTTAGCATCTAATTTCAAGTCAAGCTCTTCTCTACTCACCATGGAAACAATTTCTTTCATGGTGTGGGGCCGGGTCCAATAATTCCTAAATATTTCCATACTATTTTCCAGCTGAGAAGCCCTCATGGAAACTCCTGGCATCCCCCAGGTAAAGGACACTATTCCCTCCCTCCTGACATTGGAATGAGGGAAGATGAAGCCTGCTCCCCCTCCTCAGTGTTCCAGATATTTCTTCAAGCTTTTCTCAGTTGTCATATTCTCAGGAAAGCCTTCTGTGAGCTTTCTGAGGTTCAGTTAAATGCCTATCCTCTAGTTCCATAGCACTATATGCTTACTGTTAATAATGAAATAATTACAGGTGACAGTAGTGGGCATTCAGTATGTTCCAAGCTCTATGAGAAGTAGTTTACAAGCATTACTTATTCAGTCCTTGCCACAGACCTTATGGCAAGCGCTTATTATTATCCGCATTCTGGAGATCAGAAAACGGGAGTACAGAGAAGTTGAATGGCTTTGCTCTGGGTAACGACTGGTAGATTGCCAAAGCAGAGCTAAAACAGGTCTTTCTGAGGCTGGGTCTGTTCTTAAGTACTGTGCTCTGCTATCGGCTTCTTAGAGCATCTTTACCATGCCTTGTTGTAATGGTCCAGCTGATGCCCGCCTTGCCCTCTCTCTGTCAACAGCAACCAAGTCACCAAATCTTATCTTGCTGTCAGCACCTAACACAGGATGTAGCCCAGAAACGGACGAGAAACTTAAGAGCTAAGATATTCTCAGTGATGAGAAACAAAACCTGAAGTTGCCACCAGATGGTGCTGTGGGAACCCAAGAGAAAGGAGCCCTCGGGGACCCTTTCAGTCCCACTCCTTTGCCACAGAGAACCCGTGTCCACATTGTTTTCCTTCCTTGTCCAGAGAAGACTGA